ATATATTAAAAAAAAATTTTCATATAAAATTTAACAGGACTTAATTTAAAATTAAGCAAAAATTAAAATGTTTTTCGGATACCAAGAGTTCTAGTAAAAAAACAAAATAAAGTATTGTGTAATGGAAAGGGCAGCCATTCCCCCGTCATTTTAGGCAGAGGTGCAATTCAGCCCCTCTACTTTCATTGTTATGGCATATCAGCCACTCGTGCAAATCAGCCCCCCCACTGGACAAAACCCGCGAATCAGTCCTTCGACTGATGATGACATCATCAAATGCCATCTTTCCGTTTACGTCCTTGTTACTCCGTTACCAAGGAACGGCTTGGTACTAATGTGGCATACCGTGGGTGATGTGGCCAATTTAACCTATAAAATTATTAGAAGATCCTTGTCTTCATCTTTTTCCTTCGTCCATCTTCTTTCTCTTCCTTTACATTCTCTTTCTTTTTACTGTAGATCTACTTTTTATCCAAAAGTTTAAACTGAATTTTTTTTTAAATAAGTTTGTTTGGGCAGCTTCACAATCCAACCCTGTTGAAGTCCTCAACTGCTTTTACACCTGAAAATCCCAAGAATGTTTTTTCGGAGAAAACATTCCGATACTCAAGTCAGCAATACTCGATATTCTAAAGAGAAATATGCTCTCAAAGAGTAATTGTAGAGAGAGAAATGTAGAGATTAATTACCTTCATCAGAGATAATTGGGGGGTATTTATAGCCTCAAGTGCTGACATGCGTCTGTACATGTAAGCATCTCATTGGCCCACGTGGTGCTGGTCACGTGGGTATGCTTACCCTGGTGCTCTCTCAACTTGGGCTAGTGGACGGTAGTCTAAGCCCGTTATGTACAGCCCTATTTGGATGTTAAGCGGATGTTAGGCCTATTCCAACAAAGTTTAAATTCAAAAAATTCTTAAAAAATCTTCAAAATATGAAAAATATAAAAATTAATAAAAAGTTCAAAATTAAAATCAAAATCTACGGTTTTGTCAGTATCAAGTGATCTATTTATTAAGTCTTTATTTCTAGTAACTCAAAATTCATCTAATTTTATTTTATATAAAAGTATATGTGATATTTTTTTAAAAAAATATCTCAAAATAAATTCATATATTCTTTAATAAAAATACAAATTAAAAAAATAAAAAATAAAAAATTATGAATTCATATGTGCCCTTTACTATTAAAGCAACATCTCAATAGAAATAAAAAACCTTCTACAATAAAAAGACACGTATGAATCCATAACTTTTTTTCCTTTTCTTTCTTTGTGTTTTTATTAAAAAATATATGAATCTATTTTGAGATTTTTTTGAAAGAAATAAATATTACATGTCCTTTTGTATAAAATAAAGTTAGATAAATTTTGAGTTACTAAAGATAGAGAATTAATAAGCAGATCACTTGATATTGGCAAAACTATAGGTTTTGATTTTAATTTTGAACTTTTTATTTATTTTTATATTTTCATATTTTGAAAATTTTTTTAATAATTGTTTAGATTTAAACTTAGCTTAAAAAAAATTCAACTTAAACTTTTGGAAAAAAGGTAGATATGCAGTAGGAATAGAGAGAATGTAAAGCATTACCTATTTTCAAAAAAAAAAAGAAAAAAAGAGAGAATGTAAAGAAGCAGAGGGAAGATGGTTGGAAGAAAAGGAAATAAACGAAAACTCTTTAGTAATTTTGTAGATTAAATTGACTACATCAGTACATCACCCATCCAATGCCATATCAGTACCAACTCATTCCTTGGTAACGGAGTAACGAGGATGTAAACGGAAAGATGACAATTGATGATGTCATAGTCAGCAGAAGGGTTGACTCACGGGATTTGCAAGTAGAGGGGTTGATTTGCACTACTTTTAAGTAAAGGGGCTGATAAACCACAATAATGAAAGTAGAGGGGCTAAATTGGACTTCCGCCGTTATTTTACCATGCCGACTTCGAAAAGGCGAACTCTATTTATTTTTATTTTCATTTCCTTGTGTGAGGGACATTGGCGTGAGCTGATAAATCATTAATCATGATGATCTATTGTCTATTCATAATTTCATGTTTCCTTTTTCTTTTAATGAATATTATTATCTTACATATCAAAACCAGGATTTTGAGTATGAGTTTGCAAGGAGTCAATAATAAAGCAACTTTTTATTTTTTTTGAACAAGAACAATTTTAAGGAAAAGAGAAAGAAAATAATCCAATCTATGATATGAGAGAAGCACTTATAATTTATATGTTAAGTATAAATATTTAAAAAATTAATGAAATTTAAAGTTTAAATTAATTGAATTTAAATATTAAGATTTAAAAACGAAGACTCAAAAAGCGTCGGTTCGATAAAGCAACCTTGATGGGACGCAGTCTTCTGCTGAAGCAACCACGGAGTTAGTTGCTGCTAAAGCATAGGAGAAATTCTTTCCTGCAACTGTTGCACACCACGTTCCAGGTTCCACATGGTTTCCCAACCGATGGAAAGCTGCCATTTCAACAAAGTTTTAGACACATCGAGCCTGTGACATGGCAGGCTAGTTGTGATAATAATTTCTGAAAGATTCTTAATGTTAGGCTTGATTGGGGATAACGCTGACGTAGTGTCTCTGTTGCACTAAAGAATTTTCAGAGCGAAACATGGTAATACCCTTCCCTCACTTATTTTCTGGTTCTGTTTTTTTCTGCTCTCCTGTTACTACAATTTGACCTTGCGCCATCAGCGAAATTATGGGAGATGAATCATGGCAGTCAAAGGTCGACAACCCTGTAAGTGGACAGTAGATCAACTAAAATATAATGACAACATGTTTCTGCCCTGTCTTCTAATAAATTTTACAATATTCCAGGAAGGAGTTCTTTGTTCCCTCAAATGTCAGGTGAGAGGTATCTATATACATATCTGTTATAAATTTATAATCTAATGTTTATCGTTGTTATTTATATATAATTTTTACACATCATATTTATATAAAATTTTAATTTTTTATTTTTTTATTTTTAATAATTAAGATTTATTATGATTTTTTAATTAAAATAATAATTATTTTTAATAAATATGAATAAATTTTAATAATTAAAAGTAAAAAAGATGAAAAATTAAGATTTGATATCTGTTGGCGTCTTGAACCTTCCTGCATTTTTCTTATGGCGGCTCCTGTGAGTCCATTTCTGGTTTTGATCAAGACTTTCCATATTCTCGGCCAAAAGAAAAGAAAAGAAAGAAAATTCAAGACTCTCCATCCTATTAAAAGTTTTGCATTTTTCCCATGGGGGCTTCTGTGAGATTATTTTCTGGTTTTGATCAAGAGTTTCCATCATATTAGAGGTTTTGGTGGGAAGCGTCACAGGCCTCTTTGGTTCCTCAGGTTTAGGCCAAGCATGATTTACAGATACTGGTGATGAAATGCTGAATGGAACACTAGAACATTTGCTCTGCATATATAGAGCACATATGTTTGCTTTCTGGATATTATCAGCGGACATTGGGTATCTTGATTAACATGGATTGTTCCCTGTTCTTGTTGGCTATGAGATTTTTCCACATGTTTTTTGACCAGGTTGTCCCACCAACTAAACCTTTCTGCTCCCCTCTTATCAATGTTATATAATGATTTTAACTAAGTTTTTCGTATAAAACTTGAAGACAATATTGAACAAGAAAATGTGGGCAGATTGTGTTGTTCCTGCATTGGATGAAAGTATGGGACCCTTCAATGTTCAAAATTGAGTCTGATATAAGCCTTGTGGCTTTCCTCTTGGATCAACAGAAACCCAAGCTGTAATTTTGAGACTGGTGATGGCAATGAGGGCTCCGTTTCCAACTACCAGCTTTTGTGGAATTATGAGTTTCCAAGTTAGCAGCGAGAGAAAGAGTCCAACAGGAAAGAATGGTTCTTAACAGAAGTTGGTCGTTTTATTGGAAGTCGCCTTTTTTTTTTTTTTTTAATTTATATATACGGTAAAACATCCATTATTAAATACAAAACCCTTTAATATTAGAAATTTTTTTTTAATTTAACGATTAATATTTTATAATTCAATACTATCAGTATTACATAACACATTTTTGTTTTTATTAATAATGTAAGTTGTTTCCAAATACTTTCCTTATTCATGAACAAACCATGAATCTTCTACTTGCATTATGAACTTTGATAGTACATTTATTTTAAGGGAAATAGTGTAGAATCCTTTCAATTCTCTTTGATCACCTTAACTCCCATTCTATCCTTTAAAAAAATAAATAAATTACTTTCTCTTTTCTCTAAATTTTTTACCAATTAAATAAAAGAATTTTCACTTTCCACTCAAACCCAATTTACTATAAAATTAACTGCAATAGACTTTAGCATATGAATTTCAATTTGTGTTCTTCAAATAAAGCAAACTCCAACTTCATAATTACGCTTTCAAATTCAAATATTTCTTACGATAGAAATAAATAAATGAAATAATTACACAATAATAACAAAGTAGTCGGATTTTCTCTCCATCCAAACAAACCCCCCATTTTACAGAACAATATAATCAATTGTAGGCATTAACAAGAGAAAGCTAGCAAGAAATTACAACAAGCAAAGCGAGGAAAGAATATGTATATATATCTGAGATCTGATGAATTTCCGAAGCTTATTCCAACAAACTAGCAGCTTGAGCTTTCTTTCCATTAACACATGAATTGAAGATTACTGAATCTGATCAGCCGTTAAGTTCTGTTTCCATCGTCGAAATTCTTGGAGTAATTCGGAGAATCGTACCTGTAAGTTTGCGGGAGGCCGACTTCATCAGATCGGACGAGTTTCCTCATCTCGGATCGCACCTTGTGGAAGACATGTCTCCAGCTGCCTTTGTTGTGGCTACCTAGAACTCTGGTTTCTTCCTCGTTCAACTCCAGATCTCTAGCGAAGGCAGGCTTTCGGAAGAGGATCCAAGAGCAGCCCCATTCCCACCATTTCCGAATCGAACTAGTGGCGTACTCTCCCATGGAGGAGAGGGACTTAGATCTGTGAAACGACGCTGCCCAGGAAGTCGCCGGCGAAGAGATTGGCTGCATTTTGAGGGAGAGAGATGAAAGCCTCCTCCGTAGCCCGCCCCCCTGTTGCGGCTGATCAGATCTGGAATGTACATGCGAGACCGGAAGCGAAGTGTTCCTCTGGAAAGTCTGGATTATGGAGCTCATGGTTAGGCGCTGCAACAGAGCCTCTTGAAAATGTCTCCAGCAAAAATAGAGGGAGGGAGGGAGGGAGGGAGGGAGGGAAGGAAGGAGGGAAATAAAGAGGAAGATCAAGTGTCGGTGTTCTGTTGACAGCTCTGTCACAGGCTGTTTTATTTTTTATTGTGGCGCCGCACTAAAAAAAAAATTGGTATTTTCATTTTCCGACTCTTTAATAGCAAATTTTCAAGTGGACATTGCTTGCCAAAAATGTTGTGTGTTGATGTATCATTTATCAAGGAAGATCAATTGTCTATTCCTTTTTTTCTTTAATGGTATATTTATTTTCTTTTCTCATAATCTTAAGGTTAAATGCTCATTTTGGTCCTCAACTTTATTGATTTGCACATTTTTGGTCCCTAAAGTATTTTGTGCACATTTTTGATCCCTCAACTTTAAGAAATGCACAACGTTTGTCCTTCTGTTAATTTGAGCCGTTAATTTTGCCGCATAGCATTTTTTATATTTTTTTGATAACATGGAGAAGACAACTTAAAAAGATGCTGATCTGGACTTTTCTTTTTTATGAGATCTCATCTTCCCACACCAAAGCCCTTCTAATGAGTTCCACATTACCTGCAAAAAACCACCAATAAACAGATTGAAACCATTTCCTCAATTGCCAAACACCCTATACAATATTCTAGCCAAACAAATGGAAACCCACTAAAAATTGCTTCTTTGCCGATCGGTCACTGCTTCTGTTCTTTCCATCGCCAATGATGTTCTTTTCATTTTGAACATTAAAATAATTTAGACAATAGTTAGGAAATATGACGCAAAAGGATCCCAAAAATCCCGCACAACTTGCAATTTGCGTAAACTCAGCAAAAGGATCCCAAAAATCCCTCACAACATGCAATTTGCATAAACTCTTCGCAACAAATATATAACAAAAAAAAAAAAAAGTGGAGCTGGGTTCGATGGAACCTAGTTGCTAGGTTCCTCAAACCTAGCAAATCTAGGTTCTAGGTTCAACGGAACCCAGCAAATCTGGGTGGGAGGGAACCCAAGCTGGGTTCCTCTAAACGAGCAAATCTGGGTTTGATGGAACCCAACCTAGGTTCCACCAAACCCAACAGATCTGGGTTCGACGGAACCCAGCCTGGGTTCCACCAAACCCAACAGATCTAGGTTCCCTTGAACACAGATCAGTTGGGTTTGAGGGAACCCAGCAACATAGAGAAGGAAAAGGAAGAAGATGGATCAAGAAAGGGAGATAGGGGTATTAAGGTAAATTTGTAGTTTTTATTTTTATTAAAAATATAAATACTAATATAATCTAATATATGAGTTGGCATTGGACATGTCATAAAAAAAATGTCCAAATCATCACATTTTTAAGTTGTTTTCGTCATATCATAAAAAAATATAAAAAATGCCACATAGGTGAAGGTAACGACTCTAAGTGATAGAAAGACAAACGTTGTGCATTTCTTAAAGTTGAGGGATAAAAAATATGCATAAAATACTTTAAGGACCAAAAATGTGCAAACCGATAAAGTGGAGGGACCAAAATGAGCATTTAACCTAATCTTAATAAATAGGTTAAAACCCCATTTTGGTCCCTAAACTATTGTACAGATCCTAGATTTGGTCCTTTAACAAAAAAAATACTTGATTCGGTCCATACTATTTACCATTTTGACCCAAATTTGGTCCTTCCATTAAAAATCCAATGACGTGTATTGTTAACTAACGAGAGCACGATGACATGTCTAAATGTCGTGACATGTCAGATGTACACATGGAAAAAAGATGACATGTCATAAAACACGTCAAATTCCCACCAAGCAAAAAAAAAAAAATGTGGGGCCCACATTCTGCCCAAATTCAGTATCTTCTCCCTTTCTTCCCATTCGTACCTTAGAAGAGCAAAGGGCACATCATACCTGCAAAAAAGCCAAAAGTCCCATTCTCCTTCCTACTTTTTGCTGACGAATCTTTGATCTTTCACTTTCAAATCTTCGCGTTTAGTGTTGAAAAAGGTAGAAATCAAAGAACAATGGAGTCTTCGAACATCGTAGATGTCGATGCCGACCCAAATCTTAGTTGGAACGGGGTTTGAACCTTTTTTCAGTTTTTTTTCTTTCGAGATGTGTGAAGGTGTTGGGTGATGTCCTAAAAGCAATTTAAAAGTTGTTTTTTAGTATATGTTTCTCAAGTTGGTAGCGAAAAGGACATTGGGTCCCCACTTGAGCTCTTTGTTTTTGTGTGGGTTAGGGTGATTACAATAGTAATTTGTGTTTTTCTTAGTTTAACTATGTAAAATATAATTGCATAACAGATTGGTTGTTCAACTGTCTTTAATGAGTTTTTTTTTTTTTTTTGAATAGAGAGATAATAAGTCAGCCAACACTGCCAAAATATTTCTGCATGTTGGTGGTAGGTTAGTGCAGAATAATGGCCTTAAATATATCGATAGGGGGTGCTATGTTTGGAATGTAGACCCAAAAAAAATAACAGTGTGGGAGTTTTATAGAAAGGCTGAGTTTTGTAAGTATGATCTTGATATGGTAGATGGGATATGGTAGATGGGATATGGTATTTGCAACATGGAAAAAATTTAGAAGATGGCTTAGTGCGAAGTGTCAATGATGATTCAGTGAGGGAGGTGTTGGAAATTATAAAGGTTGTCAATGTTATCCACGTTTATATACTTCATATCCCTGACTTTGCAATGTAGAAGAAGAAGTGCTTCTTTTACCAGCTCTTAGTGATGATCAAAAGGAGGACAATGACAATGAAAGTGACAATGTCCAACTTAATGTTACTGAGGAAAGTGTTGGCGCTGATGGGGCTACTGCTAATGTTACTAAGGAAGGTGTTAGTGTTGATGAAACTCATGATAGGAATGTTGTAAGTGATGATGGTGTTAGTGTTGAAACTCATGATGGGATGCTGTAAGTGATGATGGTGTCAAAGTTGAATCTGATGATGATGAGGAAGATCATATTATTGATGTTTCTGAGTTAACAGACAATGAAGATGAAGAGACGCTGCAAGCTGGAAAGAATGTCAAGTTTTTCAGCAACATTGAGGACAGCATTGAGAAAGACCTTGAACCACCAATAGTTGATGTAAAGTATTCTGATGCATATACTACAGGTATTTGTTCTAAACTAACTTCAATGACTTTTGTGTTCATCACTATGTGACTTTTTTTAATGGAGAATTTATATTGTTTAGCAGGTTTTAGTGTTAGAGGACCAAGTTGACAGCATTTGGATGAAGTTGATAAGATAAGGAGTGATGAAGAAGATATCTATCTCTCAACATCTGACGACGAAGTGAGTGAAGGCGAACATGGTAAAAGGACACGAACAACGCATAAGGTTTACTAAGAGCCAGGAGATGATGAGACTCTTGACATTAGATTAGGAATGATGTTTATCAACAAGCAACATTTAGGGATGCTGTGAATAAGTGGAACCTCAAGCAGAGGCGAGATATTAAATGGATAAAAATGACAATATAAGATGCAGGGCATCATGTGTGAAGGCGCCAAACTGTCCATGGCAGATTTATTTGGCAATGGACCCACCAACTGAATCCTGGATGGTGAAGACATTTGTGTCTGAGCATACATGCCATTCGCTATTAAAGAAGAACAAGCGATGTAGCTCAACAGTAGCTGCACAACACTTGGTTAGGCACAAAGGGTTTATTGTCTTGTACATGAGGTGAACTGACATTTATAATGTCATTAGGAAAGAGTTAAGTGTTATCTCACCATCAATTGAAAAAGGTGAAGGAGAAGATTGGGAAGGCATTTAAGGGTGATTGCAAGATGGAATATGGTAAATTATGGGATTATGCTACAGAGTTTCGATTGAAAGACCCATCATTATTGAGGCATCAAGACCAACTATAGATTTAAGTCCTATTTTCTTAAGGATGTACATCTGTTTTACTGCAATGAAGTTGGGATTTGTAGCTGACTGCAGGCGTGTGATTGGTCTTGATGGTGCCTTCCTTAAAGGAGCGTTCAAAGGAGTATTGTTGGTTACTGTTTCTAGGAATGCAAACAACCAGATGTATCCATTTGCATGGGCAGCCGTGGAAGGTGAAACCATAGAGACCTGGATCTGGTTCCTTGAGGAGCTGCAAAGAGACATCGTGATTAGATCAGGGAGTAATTTCACATTCATTTTTGGCCAACAAAAGGTATATTCCATGGTTCTATTATGTTTATGAATCTTTCATTTTTCCCAAATTGGTCCCTAAACTAGTTCAGGGACCAATTTGGGGAAAATAACTTAGTTGGTAATTATATGCACTCATTGAGAACATGTGATTCCAAGGCCTAATTCATGCATTTGAGGATCTATTTCTAGATGCTGAGTATAGAACATGTGCTAGACATAAATATGCCAACTTTCGAAAGAATAATGGAGGCAAAGAATTGAAGGTAGCATTCTGGAGATGTGTTAAGGCTAATACTGAATATGACTTCAACAGGGCATTAACTGAGTTAGGGCGTATTAAACCAAGTGCAATCCCTGCCATCATGAGCACACACCCTAGGTTTTGGTCAAAGCCTTTCTTCAAAGAAGATAGTAAATGCGATGTTGTCAATAACAACATGTGCGAGGTTTTTAATGGTTTAATACTGGAAGTAAGACACAAGGTCATATTTTCTATGCTGGAAGACTTACGGGCAATGTGTGCTCGGAGGATGGTGGCTAGGAGGGAATATGGTACCAAGAAATTTGTTGGGAATTTTGGTCCCAAAATTTGGGCAAAAATTGTTGCTACCCGAGAAGGTAGCAAGAGATGCACACTTTTATGGCTTGATGGTAACGGGTATGAAGTTGATGATAATGGGGAGGCAACTTATATTGTAAATGTGGAGAGAAAGACATGCACTTGCAGAGTTTGGAATATGACTGGAATACCCTGTAGGCATGCAGTTACTGTGATTAGCCATATACAAGAGAATGTTGAGGACTATGTAGCACACTGGTATAGCAAGCAAATATTCATGGCAAGTTATGAATATGAAGTCCCAGTCATAGAAGGAATGGACCAATGGAAGGAAACTAAAATGCCACATGTTCAACCACCAAATCTAAGAAGATGCCTGGCAGGCCAAAGAAGAAACGACAGCCAGAAGAATGAGAGGGGAAAACATTTGTTGGCAGAAAAAGGAGGTTGATGACCTATCAAAAATGCTTCAAAAGGGGGCATAACTCAAGGTCATGTAAAAGAGTTCCACCAAACATTGTAAGTTAAAATTTTAATTTAATTATTGTCAATTCCCTATGTGTTTTATACATTATTTTTTTCATATGTATGTATTATGTATTTGTAGCAAGTACAAAATGAGGATCAAGCAACTCCCCAAGAAAAGCAGCCTCAAGACGTTGATGAAAACATTGGAGCTAAAGTGGAAAACCCAATGAGCCAAGTGGAGGATCCTCTTAGTCAAGTTCTCAATGAGGCACCTACACCAAAGAGATTCAGGCAAACAGCAAGAAGAAAACAAGAGGTTGTAAGCTTCTAAACTAATGAAATTTTCATTTTATGGTATGCTAGATATACTAACAAATGCACATTGATTCTTTAGTGTGAAGGAAGCTCAAAAAATGCACAGCCATGGAAGAGGGCTAAAAAGGACTGTGCAACAACAACCACAGGCCTTTCCCAATCACAGGCAGCAACTACTTTAGTAGCCAAAGATAAAGGGAAACAGCCAAAGAAGCTACGATAGCCAAAGAAGAAACCCTGAATGGCTGCCAATGCATCAAAGTGAGATTGATGAAGATTGATTTTTTGGTATTTTGTTAGGTTGAATATGTTGGGGTGAGCATTTTTTGTGCAGGGTTGTATTTTGTGTATAACAATTATGGTTGGTAAATGTAGTTATTGGTTTAATGTGCAGTCCATAATTGTATTTTTTGCTTAGGTTTTAATTGCAAAAGTTGGTTTTTGTTTGTATGTATAAAACTGCACTTATTTAAGGTTTGTAAACACTACATCTTGGAATGATATGCACTTTGTATAAGTGCTTATTTTCTCAAATTTCTATAGATTCAGGTACAACATTTATAACAGATTTCAACAGCACAGAATCTTCAATATTATATTAGGTTTTAGGCAAAGAAGCACATTACAATTGGTTCAAACAAAAAGAAAAGCTTTTATAGGCCAATAAACTCACAAGAACCTGGATTCTAGTGCAGCCTTTGTAGGTCAATAAACTAACAAAAACTTGGATTCTAATGCAGTCTCTATAGGCCAATAAATAGACCAATAATAGATACAGCACTTAACATGCAAAACACACACAAAATGATAAAAACTTTTTGTGATCTTATGCATATCTTCTCACTTCTTTTCACTTTCTTCTCCAAATGCTTAATCTTCTTCACTAGTGATTCAAATTCAACTATTAAGACCCCATTCTCGTGTAGCAAGTTCCCATTTTCCACTAATAATCCAGCATTTTCCTTCATCAAATCATCATTTATCTTTATCAAATCAACCCTTTCCTTCATTAAATCATTATTTTCCTTGATCAGATCAGCATTTTCCTTTTTCAGCCTTTCATTCTCGAACTGAAATCGAAGTTGCTTATCTTTCAACCTTAATAACAGATCCCTTGCTCTACCCTTAATCACGTTATCACCAAGAGTAAAATGGAAGAACTTGCAAGGCTGTCCAGTCTAAACAACACAAAAGTTAAGAAAAAAACTTTATGCTTCTAAAATTGCATCAAACTAGATAAATTTGCAACTAAAATTAAAGAACACAAGTCTTACTAGGAAATTTGGACATCCCTAAAACCTTTTTCCCATGTTCTGGAATGTCAGTGTTGTCCTCGACGCAGGTGCTAAACCACACTCGTGTTTCGATTTTGTTGTTTGACCACCACTAGCACTCGTACCATCAGAAATTGAAGGAATGGATATCGATTCAACAACTTCCATTGCCTAAAATTCCTCAAGATCTACTCGAAAGAAAGACAAAATAGTTGATTTCAAAAGCGTGAATCTCAAGATCAAAGACGAAAAAGCTCTGTTCTTTTAGGGTTTTGAAATGGAGAGAAGCGTGACATCTATGATATTTTAAGACTCCATTGTTATTCGATTTCCACCTCTTTCAGCATTAAACGCAAAGATTCGAAAGTGAAAGATCAAAGATTTGCCAGTAAAAAGTAGGAAAGAGAATGGGACTTTTAGTTTTTTTGTAGGTACGATGTGCCCTCTGCACTTCTAGGGTTTGAATGGGAAGAAAGGGGAGAAGATATTGAGTTTGGGCAGAGGTGGGCCCCACGTTATTATTTTTTTTTTTGCTTGGCGAGAATCTAACGTGTTTTATGACATGTCATCTTTTTTCCATGTGTACATCTAACGTGTCATGATATTTAGACATGTCATCGTGCTCCTGTTAGCCAATAGTACACGTCACTGGATTTTAACGGAAGGACCAAATCAAGGTCAAAATGGCAAACAGTAGGAACTAAATCAAGGATTTTTTTTGTTTAGGAACCAAATTGAGGGTCTATACAATAGTTTAGGGACCAAAATGGAGTTTTAACCTAATAAATAAATAAGGAGGAAAAAATTGAATAAAATAAGTGATTGCTTTTAATATAAAACTTCTTACTATACTTGAGTTTAAGTTTTCATCTTCTTTAAATACCCTCGACATATAACCTTGTTAAAAAAAACTAAATAAATAAATCAAGAGTATATGAAACATTAGAAAAAAAAAAAAATCAAGAGTGTATAATAAATGAAAATTTAGATTTTACTTAAAAATAGTTTAAAATATATGAGAGTGAAACTATAAAATTAATAATTTTAGGGTTAATTAAAAATATAATTTTGTTATAAATTTTTT